TTTTTTTTTTTTTTTTTTTGGAAAGAAGAAATAATTAGATGTCTGATAGCTGTTGCTTTTTTTTTTTTTAAAGAAATCTGCAATTCCCTTTCAAAAGAACTTTTAATGTGCCCTGTTCTCCATTTCTTAAATACACATTAAAGTCTGGGTAATGTTAAGTAAAGAGCTCAGTGTTGACACAAGGGAGACTCAGACTATCATTACTCTCTAAGCCACAGTGGTACCACCTTGAGACACAGATTCACAGATTTTGTCACTGCATCCCTCCCTTCAATGGACTCGAGAAATTGGCCAGGCCCAACCTACTCTGGAAGCTTAGGTTACACTTTTATAAGATGAGGCAGGAGATCTACCCAGAAATTGTTGGAATATCTCAGTGAAGGAAATTTAATCAAATGTGTGAAAAAGTTCTGGACTAGAAAAGCACACATCAAATATCACTAAAGTGATAAGAAGGATTTTTGTTGATTTAAAAAAAAAAAAAAAAGCATTCTTGCCTCCTTTCCTAGAGTCTCTGACTTTTAACTGCTCAATCTCATATTTGGCCTGTAAAGTAGAGATAACATACTTCACTCGGGAGCTACTGGCTGGGGAGCTCAGCTTTCCTTCCCTGTGTCTCTGGGGGAGGCAGGTCCCCAGCAGCCCGTCAGCAGAGATTAAAGCTGCAGATTGTGCTGAGCCAGAGGAAATACTACTAATATCTCTGAAAAAAGAAACCATATTTTAAGTTATCTCAATAAAGTAGGGAAAATAACCATCCCAAAGAGGGGGAGTTAGAAGAGGAAAAGCTAAAATAGAATTTCAGAAGAAAACACATTAATTACTGTCATCTACAGGATGAGAACCACTGGCTGGGTTAGCATGGGGCGGGGTGGGGAGTCAAGGTTAACTATAAACTTAATGCAAGCTACATTTTTCAAAAGGACTAAGCCACAGTCTAAACAGATCCTTAACGAAGCTTACCTTGTAGGGAATGGTTGCTTTGTAAAAGGATCACGACAGGCTTCTTAAAATAGCAATCTCCCTTTTAATGTCTTCATTCATTTTTTTTTTTATTGCAATTTGAATTTTAATGTTCAGAAAAGAGCTCTCCTATCACATGAAATGAAATGCACATGTCTTTTAGAACACCATCTTCCAGAGTGTTCAGAAGAACTTGGAAACTGTCTTCCTTGTCTGTGCTGCGGCTCTGCTCTGTGTAAGGCCTGGCCCGAGGTGGGCAGTGAACGGACCATGCCCGTGTGCTACGCAGAAATACAAGACAGCTCGGGGGCAGAAAGGCCTGGGCAGTGAGGAGACCATGGGGTCTGTCTGAAGGCAGGAAACGCTGGGACGGGGGTGGAAAGCTCAACAGGGCGACGGGAAGGAAAGGCCCAGGAGGCCTTAACTGCCAGGCTCAGAGGGTAGGCTGCTCCAATACCACTTCTAAATAGCAAAAAGGGGTTGAAGACGTTTATAATAAATACGGAGATGAGCAAATGGGTAGAAACCAAAATTACAAGGAAAGTTAGAGGAGCTTATTGGTTTTCTCCCTAAGAAGACACGAATAAGAAGGGATTTCACGAGCAGATTAAGAATTGTGACAAGGTGGGTGGCACACGTTTGCTCTTTGAGAATTCACAATAACCGAAAGGTAGGAGCAAGCCAAGTGTCCACACGTGGGTTAGCGGGAAAATCGAATGCGGTGCACACACAGGGGAATAGTATCTGGCACATGCTACAACATGGACGAGCCTTAAGGATGTTATGCTGAGTGACACAAGCCAGTCACAGAAATAAAGATACTGCATGATTTCACGGACATGACATTCCTGGAAGAGTCGGATTCCTACTCACAGAAAGTAGGGTGGTGGCTGCCAGGGGCAGGAGGCAGGGGAATACTGAGTTGCTTACTGAGTCGAGAGTTTTAGTTTTGGAGATGAAAAGAGTTCTGGAAAGTGACCGCTCAACACTGTGAATGTACTTAACACTTAGAGATGGTTACGATGGTAAATTTTATGTTATGTCTATTTTACTATAATTTATTTTAAAAAGAACTCCCCAAGAAGACAAGGACTCCAACTATATCCATAGAATTTATTTAAACAAAGGAATCCTTTTGGCTTTGAAGATAATTAAACATTAGCACAAGGTACTGAGGGAGGCTGTGGTTTTACTTTCCTCTTGCTAAACCAAAGGGGGATATAATAATTCATAAGACTTTTCTGGAACTATACGAAATTAGAAGATGAGGTTTGCGGCCTCTCTGCCCACTCCCTGTTGGGTGATCACCAGCTAGTCATTTAACCTCTTTAATCTCAGGATACTCACCTCACCAGAAAAACCAAGCCAAGGTTTGGGAAATCTGTTTGTAAATGGAGTCCCGGTGTGACCATTACTACAGGGATTGTACCAAACACTGTTCTCAAGAAGGTGATGCCTGGTGTTCAGAATCCCCAGCTCCCAGGAGCAGCCCATTCTGTGCAGATCACTAGGGCCCAGAGGAGATGAGAAACCCTCCAGCATGTCCCTGGGACATCCGCACACCTGTCCTTTTGAGGCCTCCTACGTATGACATGCAGAGAGCAAAGACACCTGACTCGAGAGCCACCAGCTGGCAAAGCCAAGCTCTTTGGAAGGACAGACTGGCTTGTGGTGTGAGAGAGAAGCTCAGTGTAAGGGGAATAAGTTTTCCCAGGAGGTGTGGTGCAGCGTGCCAAGAGGGAAACTGGTTACACTTCCATCTGATTCAAGACACTGCGCCACCTCACTGCCCTGGGGATTTATTTTGGACCTGATCGGTCACACTGGGATGAGAATCTATGGGCCTACAGTTGCATTGCTTAAACAACTGAATGTCTGTGATGTGGGAAATGCTATGGCTAAGTAGGAACCATAACAGACCAGGTAAGGGGCTTGTTCTTTTCTACTTGAGCCACACTGCTGATAGGACAGACCTGCTTCCACGCTGGGCCCCAGTGACTGTGCCAGGGGCAACACCTCCTCTGAGAGATGACAGCCCACCACGTTGGCACCGTCGGCAGCCACCGCCATGGCCAGGGGCCGCACCCAGACGCAGCCCTGGGTGGCATTCTACAAGCCGCTCACTGTGCATATGACACATCACAAAGTACCCAAAAGCAGCCTACCTCCTGTGCTCTGCCCCCGTATCCACTTGGGCCGTTTCTGCAAGTCCACGCTGCCCTCATGTAATCTTCTTGCTCCCCAGCCACTGGAGTTGCCACCGGCTCTCTCTGGAGGTTCTCCTTTCTAGGAGAAAATAGCCTCCCCACTGTACTTCTAATAAATGGCATGTGGTCAACTGGTTATTCCCATAGAAAAACAAATCTTAATCTCTTACCATATCCAAAACTCAATCCCAAATGGCATGCAGCTATAAATACGAATGGTAAAATAAAATAAAAAACCTTTAAAGGAAACCTAGGAGAAGATCTTAATTATTTCAGTGGGGGTAAAGATTTCTAAAATTTCTTGAACTGAGTAGAGAAGACAGTGTCCAAATGGCCGATACTGTATGAGAAGGTGAGGAAGTTCACGCACCATGAGGGAAACGCAAGCTCAGACAGTGAAGGCCGCACTGCGAGCACCCTCCCGAGCGGCTGGTCTAAAACCCCAGCCAACGCCGAGTGCGGGCGGGGATGGCAACGAGCGGCTCTGCTGGCACCAGTGTAAACCGACACGGTGACTTTAGCAAACTGGCGCTCTCTACCAGAGCCGGGCACGTGCAGGTGCTATGGCCCAGCAATTTCGCTGCCAGGGCCACACTCGTTAGAAACTGTACAAATGCTCACCAGGCCATGCTCACGAATGCTCATGATTAGTCATGACAGCCCCAAATGCAGCTACCCAAACATGCATATCTTTCTATTTTATGATATATATATACACATATACATATATGCTTATATATAATGTATAATTTCATGTGTACATATATGAAATACTGTAAGAACTGGCATGAATGACTTAAATCTGTGAATGAATCTCATATACCCAATGTTAACAAACACAGCCAGTCACAAGAATATATACTGTATAATTTTTCTTATAAAAAGTTCAAAAACAAGCAAAATCTCACCTAGAGGGTTTCATGTCAGGACAGGGGACACGCCTGCAGGAGGGAGTGAGTGGAAGGGAGCATAAAAAGCTCTGGAGAGATGGAAACATCCCAGGCCATGATCTGGGTGCTGGCTACCCTAGTGTATCCACCTTGTGAAAAGTCACTGAGCTATATACCAGGACTTGTATCCTTTCCAGAATTTTTTTATACTACAACAAATGTTTACAAAACTTATAACAAATAAATGGACCAATTTTTTTATATTCTCCAAGAAAAACATGCATTTCAGAAAGGGGCATTTGCCAAACCAACTATATCTCCACTTTGTGGAAACTCAGATCATAAAGGAACAGGAGCTGAGCTCCCATAGCTATGACCCAGGGGACTTCTCAGTGACCACCTCCCCCTAACCCCAGGGAAGTCACTGGAACAGGAGCTGCGAGCCTCTGTCCCATGCGTGTGCCATCGATTCTCATGGTGCTGTAAGCACTGTGGTGTTCACAGTATCAGAGGATGCATCTCTAGAGTGTGGACTCGGGTACAGAGGTACCCGAAGAGTGCATGGTGTTTGCACAACAGTTTAGCAATTACTTTCTCATTTAATCACTGAACCTCATTTAATTACTTATAGGAGAGATAAGGGAGGTATGCACCCCAGTTTTCTGGTGAGAAAGCTGAGAGTCAGAGGCTGTGTGGCTTGGGCAAGTTCCCATGGTCAAGATATGGAAGGCGGTGGATGGTCCCGCCAAAGCCTAGGGCAAGGTGACTTCTGTTGCATTGGATAAGAGAAAGCCAGCAGACGAAGAGGGTAGGAAAATAAAATACAGAAGCTGGCTTAGAGCAAATCTGACAGATGGAGAGCGTGAGAATGCGAACAAGCCATCCAGAAGGGAGCTGCAAAGGTCCTGAAAGACCCAAATCTGAACTGAATATAGACGAAGGAATTTGACGGTTTGAATGGGAGGAACGTATAAAATTAGAATCAGAAGATAGTGCGATTACCATCAGTGATAAATTAACTCTGAGGCGATGCAGCCACGGGATGAAACAAGAACAGACTGCAGGTGGTGGAAGCCTCGAGGACGCTCTTCCAGTGCAAGCCCAGCCTGGGGAGCCTGGGTTAGAGGGAGGGCGGTGGGAAGGAAAGGGGTGGTGGGAACAGGAGAAATGCTGAAGGGAGAACTGATGGGCTGGAGAGCTGGTTCGGGGG